GGCTTTAAGAGGCTTTTGAGTTTGGTGTTCTTTTTTCAAAAGTGTTTGTCATTGCGTTTTCTTTTTCTTTTCCCACTGTATTTTCTTCGAAAAAAAACCCCACCACAAAGCGATTTTATGTGGCTTCGTATTTTGTGTCGTGATCGCGTTGGTTTTATCTTTTTATTCTTATCAAATTTTTTCTTTGCCAAAAACATCATAAAGCGATTTGGTGTGGCTTCTTTTTCTTTTGTGTTCATGATTGTATTTTTGTTTCTGTTTGATTTGTTTTTTTTCAGAAAAGTTTCCCCCGGTTGGGCCCTCTGCATTTCCTTTCCCTTCACGCTTTCTGTTCAAAGCCCCTTCAAGCTCCCTTCGAAGCTTCTCCTTCAAGCCAGTGTTTCGGAGTGTAGAGAAGCTTTCGAACTCCCGCTTTAAGCCTTTCTTGAGACGGGACTTAAACGCCCAAGGGAGGCTCAAAGGGGAGCTTAAAGAAGAGCTTAAAGGCTAAAGGGTGGCTTAAGGGGGCTTAGAGGAGGCTTGAGGACATGTTCGACTAAACTCCCACACTGAGTATAGAGCTGCAATTCGGAACGACCGCACATCGCTGCCAGTTTTTTTCTTGCCCTCGTCGCGGGGCTGAAAAAAAGATTGAGGTCAGAAAAAAGACATGCCGGGGTCGAAATCAAGATGGATCAAAGCGCGCGGTCTGGAAAAAAAACACCTCGAGGTTGAAAAAAGAGCATGACATGCTCACTGTGTCCGGCCAGCTGGACAAATTCCATATCCCGAGCGACACATGCGCACGAGTAGTCAATGGCTCCACCTTTTCACCTTGGACGGAATTATCTGCCAGGCACGGCTTTGGGTCGCGCGTGGCCAGCCGTCCCAGCGCCGGGGCCGGGCGATGGCCCAGCACTGGACCGTGTGCTCGACCTCGCCGCTGACGAGGCGCCCAGCCGCCTGCCCCTGCGGCCCTAAACCGGGACCGCACGCAGTAATGTGATGCCGTAGGACTGTCGTAGCTGCCGGATCTTCTTGCAGTCGGAAAAGTCCGTTGAAAAAAAAAAAAAATTATCTGCCGGTGTTGTAACATCTTAGGCCCATTGCTATTCAACATTCCGCTTCATGGCATTGCGGATGCTGTCCGTGCCGTGTGCCCGGGCGTATTGGTGAGCACCGCTCGCGATGCCCCAAATGCCCTTGGGGTGGCTCTCTTGCTTTATGCTGACGACTTGGTAGTCTTGGCTGGGGATCTGGTCTGGCGTTTCTCTTCCGGCATAGGCCCCGTAAGTCAGCTGTCATGGTTGTTGGTTCCAAGTCGATCATCGTTTCATGCTTCAAGGCTCTCTGCTGCCTTGTGTACGCGAGTACACGTATCTAGGAGTGACGTTTGAAGCATCGCGCAAATGGCATAGGCATGCAGCTCGTTTAATGGACACCGACCGGCAATCGTAGATTCCACCAATTCCTGGTTGGATTGCGCACACGCTTCCGTAGCCAGTTGTTGCAAACGTATGTTTTGCCCGCTATCCTTTATGGAACACATTTTCTTGATTCTGGGCAAGCAGCTCGTTTGGACAAAACGCTTCGCCACTGGGGACGTCGCTTGCTGCACTGGCCGAGCGGTGCACCAAGTGCTGCAGTTCTGGGTGAACTCGGCTGGTTGCCTTACGTGTTAGAAGTGCAGCACGGTGGCAACAACACTCATTTATCGCGGCTCCCGTCGTCCTTGCTTCGGGAGTGGATGTTAGCGCGTTGCGTTCGTCATCCTTTTCAGGATGGCAGAATTACCCGGCACGCACAGCGGCATGGTCCCGAGTGCCTCTGCGGTGCTCCTCGTAACACGTTCCTGCATGCCATTCGCGTGTGTCCGCTGTTTGACACCCAGCGCCGCACCTGGTTGTCTTCGGCACTGAAGTTGGCGGCAGGTTCGGCACCGAAGCGGTGCAGTTCCTGCGCGTACTGGCGCGGCATCGGGCCGCCGCCGTACCCAGACCGCTGCGCACTGCCGCTATCACGGCCTGGGTCGCGCGATGGTCCGGCCTTCTAGCCGTCGCCGCGCAGCGCGCCTTCGCAGCCTCTTTGCTCGAGTTGCCCCCCGCCGCCGACCTCGGGGACGGACCGGGCCTGAGCTGCATGAGCAATTACAATAGAAGCACAGCACAGCACGCAAACCAGTTACGCTTTCGCATTCGAGAGGGAGTGAGAAGAGCCTGGGAAGCTTTGATTACAAGCCTTCCACCCACCGTGTACGCTTTACTGTGCCTGCAAGGCAGTCGGTTTGCGCCAGGTGGCCCGGCGCTCCTCCCATTCGCCCGCATGTTCTACGGCCGCTGAGTGTGAGGAATGTCTGGCCGTTATGTGCAGCAACCGGGAACATCCCGTCCCAACACAATCTGACAGTTCGCCAGAGCGACGGCAAGGTCGACCTTTCAAGCGACGGGGTGGTGAATTTTACAAGTTTGTAACGTTGCGTCTTCATGGTCATTGGTTGTGGTCAGATGTATCACATTTACCGGTTGGCACTCCCTGCGCAACATGGCTTCACCCCGTGGCAGCTGGCAAACTGCTCAGCGTGCCAAGCCTGTCGCAATTTGTCGGTCCATCCCGTGCAACGACTGGTGACCATTGCTGCGCGGCAACAGCTCGCCCGAATCATCAGGTACTGCAAGCCGCTTTCTTGGCCGGCACGTGTCTCCTGCACAGGTTATCTCGTTGTGGGCATCACTCATTATGTGATTTGCGAACCGCTCGCCATCAAAGCGTTGCAGTCAGACCTAGTCGCAAAAACAAACCGCAACTTTGGCACTCGTGGCTGCAGGCCCTGGAGTGCATGTCTGTGTCGAATCCTGCCGTTTGTTGCTTCGCCTGTGTCGCCCTGTGATAATGATGACTCCTGTCTTTTGCAACGATTGCGTAACTTGCAAGGAGCTATGTCCCGCGGCACCGGGCAATTCTATTTGGAGTTGATTAAAAGTTCTGCAAGAGATGCCCGCTAATCGTGCACTTGGCACGGATGGGCTAACATATGACGTCCTCCGTGTTGACGATGACATCTTTCATGCGGCATTGTTGTGCTTCTTTGAGCTTGTCCGCTCCTGGGCAATCGTCCGTTCTGTATGGCGGACTGCCGTCATGAAACCGTTACACAAGTCCGGTTCAGCGGAAGAGGTCACGAACTACCGGCCCATCAGCCTGTTGTGCTGTAACTTGGAAGGTACTGTATTGGATGACCTGTTGACAGGCAGTTCTGCCAAAGTTGTGGTACATGGTGTGCTTTCGCAAACATGGGCTGAAACAGCGGGCGTCCGTCAGGGCAGTGTGCTCGGCGTACTTCGGTGTACCATTTTTTTTATTTATTTCACTTTTTTGCGACTGCGCAAGAGGAGTCCAGGTCCGACTACAGGGCATTGGACGGGGGGTGCTCAAGCGGGACGCGCTGGCAGGCGGCTGTTAGCGGGCGCCTGCAGCCAGCGGGCGTCGGCGAGGAGCTCGTGCTAACAGCATTTCCACGACCGTGCGCAGGGCTTGTCCCGTGGTCACGCTAGGCGGAGCCGGTGCGCCCAAAGTTGTTGTATGCCGACGATTTTTTAGTCTTGGCAGACCTCGGACCGCTCCTCGGATTTGCAACGTGCCTTAGATGCTGTTGGGACCTGGAGAGCCCGTTGGAGATTAGGGCGTCGTTTCCAATCGGCTCGGTGAGCGTCTTTATGCGAAGGGCAACCGTAAATTTCATGAGATTTCATGAGTTCCTGACTTGGGCGGAAAATCGCTAAATGCACACAAGCTTTCGGCACAGCTTCTTCCCATTCATATGTGCTCCCCTCCATGTTATACGGATGTCAGTTCCTCAGCACCAGAACTCCAGCTCTGTAGCCTGTCTGGACAAGAAACTGCATCAGTGGGGTCGTCGCCGCTTGCAGTGGCCTGCTGGGGCCCCCGGTGCGGCCGTGGACCCCTTTCGCCACGAGGTCTTGAGAAGTCAATTCAGTTAGTTTGGGCGCTTATGCTTTGCTGATCCTGCTGGCATCCACACGGGTGTTTCTGCACGAGTGTTTCGCGATGCCTTAGGCCAACTACACTCCTGGGCCTAAGACGTCGATAATACCTGCGTGATTGTGGCATCCATGCACCGCATGTGTGGGGAGTGTCGCCGGGTTGCAGCGGAAGCACCGTGGCTGCCTGGAGATGTCGGCGCATGTGCCCGGCGTTAGATCGGCATGTTGTTGAAGGGCGTCGTGCTGAAGTCGCGGCTGTGCCGTCGCTTCGTCTCTTTGCTGAGTGTCATCCCATGCTAAGTTTCTGTCCACGTGTCCATAGCTCACGTGTGTTTGCGTTTATAGGACATTGGCTCGGTGTGGCCATCAGCCATTCCTTGATGGACATTCTGCCCGTCACAGGTTTCAAGCCCAGCCATTGTTTGTGTGGCGCCGCCGTATGGAGCTTCATTCACGACATACGGTCCTGCCCCCTGTTTGTACCGAGGCGAAGGCTTGGATATACCGTTCCCAGGTGTGTGGGCTAAGAGCTGTTGAGCAGTTGCCTGACGACGTGTTTCTGCATTTGCTCTTCTCGCCACAGCACCCTTGCAACACTGTAAGCTTACTGTCAGTCCATATGCACTTTGCGGCTGGTGTGTGTCGAGCCCAAAGCTCGTTGTTGGAAGGCTTGAATGTGTGATCTGCTGTGGCATTTCTGCCCTTGCTGAATATCGGTACATATCTTTCGATTCACTTTGTAGTTACTGACCGCATGACGGTTGTTTCAGGACTCATACTACTCCTTCATTGCTCCCCGCACCAAGCCCGGCGAGAAAGGTGGCGTCGTCGTGTCAGATGGGGGCACGTTGTTGTGCACTTCCGCAGTCACCACTGCGTGCCCGTGAAATTGCCAACCACGCGTCCGTTGTGTGAGTCTGGGTAGCCTGACATTCTAGCTTGTTTGATCTTGTGCATTCGTATAAACACGTTTTGCGTAGTCGTGTAGTGTCTCACGTTCTGACCACACCCCATAGTTGTTCAAGGACGGGACTGTTTTTCGCCCTGGTCCTCCCGGCGTTTGCCGACGCGAATCGTCCTGTTCTCAGCGACGTCCTCGCCGTGCCGTCGACCTTTGCACGTTTTTGCACCTCTGGCCACCCACCTGCATTGAACGGTTCTCTTGCATCACCGTAGCCAGGCCCGAGACTTGGTATACGCGGCGAAACGGAGCCTTGCGAAGAGAAGCGCAAACGAATACGTACCTGCCCAAAGCTTGCAGTCCCCAATGTCCCCATCAGTCGCTCGCCGTTGCAAACTGTTGTGCTTGGCCTCGAGGTTGGCGGCAGATTCAGCCACGATGCCGTTTGCTTTCCTTCGGCACTTGGCCAGGGTGTCTGCCTGCGAGTCGCCGGCGCGGCTGCGCTCGGCGCAGCGTGTCATTTACCTACGGACGGGCATGCTGACTCGCTTTTCGAGTTGCAGTTGGCGGGAGCAGACACGTGCGAAGGCACGGAGCGCCGTATGGGTGACTTGTTGGCGGATGCATGTGACGCCGAGGCAGTGCCCGTGAGTCGTGTCGCCGCATGTCTCCGCCCAGTGAAGCTTCAATGAGCCAAATGTTGTACGGCTGTGCCAGTCGATGGTCCTCGTGTGAGCCGTTCTTGTGCCTTCTAGAAATGTCGACGGGGCACGCGCGGAGGGTGTATCAAGTCGTGGCAGGCAGCACATCTGCCTGGGTGGACCAATCAGCAGCCGGTGCAGGGCCGGTGCAAAACCGCGATGCGCTAACGAACTGGGCTGTGTGGTCCTCGCCTCCCACAACTGCCGTAATTAGCCAGCAGTTTTGCGCAGCGTGTGGCAGCCTTCGACCCGGACACTGGACGTTCTTCGGCAGGTGCAAGAAAAGCGGAAGGAAAAAACAAAATCGCCGGCCGCTATACTGCTATAAAAAGATGACCACTTGGACTGACTGCGCGTGCGGTCGGAACTTCATGTTGCTTTGCTATAGGCTGGCGCGCCCGCAGGGTTTAGAATTCAAGCAGCAAAAAAATTTGAAGCTTTTGCGCGGTTCGCTGCATGAGCCCCCTTCGGAGGTTAGATGGGCCGGTGGCTGCTGGTTGCGCCATTTGCGGCTTCACAAAAGCTTGAGCAGCTTTGTTGAATTATGTTCGCGTCAGTCCTCACAAACGAAATGTGCGTCGTCGAAGAATGGGCCTCGAGCCATGACCTGCTCGGCTCTGAAAAACGCTAACACGCAAATGACACTCGCCGCCAACATCATCCGGAATCGGAGCAGGATTAAGTGGGCAAGTTCAGGCCTTATATCCATGCAGCAACATGGGAACGCCGGGATCCCCGGGATGGATCGCCGAGAAGCTTGTGTTGATCACGGCGCAAGGGATCACAATCTCCCGCTATTGCGCTGCTCTCGGTGTGGTGCTTGTTTCGCACTTTCGTCCATGGCGTATCCTAGTTTGGTTGGAGTGCCCTTGCACGACGAAATGTCCCGCAAAGCTGCAGGTGTGGAGTGTTAACTTCGTAGGCAGCTGTAGCCCTTGCCGCGTCCTCCTGTACTCAGTCCTGCGAGCTTCTCTCACCGATTAACAGTGTTTTATCCCGCCAATTACTAATAAACTGGTTGGTTTCCGGCCAGCGGGCGAGTTGCATGTAAGGTTGGCGAGACCCAAGCGTTCCCCTCCAAGTGTTGCATGAATTGATCTGAAGGTTTTGGCTTTTTGTGCAGAGTCGCAGTATGCAAAAAAAGGTCTCCGACAGGTGTTGCTGTCTCAAAGGGGGGGGAAGGGTCGGATGGGAGCTTAGCTGCCATGGCGTCATGTTGGCATCTCTGGTAAAAGTGTCTGTGGAAGAGATTTCTTGGGATGGCCCTCCTGGAATCTCATGGGCCAAGCTGTTGTGCAGGTTGCGGGCCACCGGGCATCAGATGGACAAATACATGCAAGAATCCCTATGGAAGGAGATTAGCAGGAATCGGACGCCAATTCTCATCCGTGGACACAGTCAGAGTCATCACGAAGTCCCTGTTGAGGCAGAAACGGAAGACTCCGATGACCGCGACTGCTCATGTCCTCGGAGCTCTCGCAACAGGGGGAAGTTGGTGTTAGATGTTCCCGATGCTGTTCGATGGCATTGCTTGAGGTTGGATGCTCATCCTGACATTGCTGAGAACGAATTGTCAATAAAATCCTTGCAGCTTGTCGCACAGCGCCGCTGGAAAGGTTGTTCTGCTTCTTTACTGTCGTCAGAGTTGAACGTCACCTCCTGCAATTTGTTTTATTTGCTCGAAGGACTGAGGTTGGCAGGTTTGTTGGTGGGCGTTTTGACGCTCCCTTCCAAGGCGACGGCAGCAGATGCGCATGGCAACCTTTTCTATTTCTCCCGCTTTTTCGATCCTGAGTCTGCTGAACAAAGGGAGGTGCAGGTCTTGCTCAAAACTTCCGCGACTGCTTTGAAGAACAAGATCTTGGCGACTTTGAATGCCACGGACTCCAAGGTGGCTTTTGAAGGGGGCTTGCGGTCTGTGCTGGCACAAGTGCTGGACGAATCAGCCTTGAAGCCAGACATCTCGCGCCGAGCTGCAGGTCGCATTTATCAGCGCCTGAGGTCAGAACTTATGGCAAGCGGCAAGGTGGAGTGTGTTCGTGCTTGGGATGCTGGCAGCAAGACATACAGAGATGCTCTTTGCATCCCGGGGCACGTCCCAAAACAGCCTGTCCTGGCCATTGAAGACATCAAAGCTGACAAAAGCCCTGGAACCCGAGATGTGGTGCAGCCATCCGAGCAGCAAGTCCGAAGAGTCGCGCATCCGCTCCCCGAAGGTCTCGTGCATGCACAGCTGAGTATGGCTTGTGTGCGTTCTGCAGAAAGATCAGCATCCCAACAAACTGAAGATTTGATTCGTTGTTGTAGCAGGTTTGGCCGCGGCATTACAAGTCCGGACATATCCAGCTTGCTAGGAATTCGCCGAAAGCAAACGGAGCGCATCCTAAATACACTGGTGAAGAAGAAGCGTGCGACTCGTGTCTTTGAGAGCGATGGGAAAGCACATTTCAATCGTTACTTCGATTCACCAGCCACTTGCATGGGTGCATACAGTGTCCGGCAATCGAATGGGAAGCATGCACTGAAGCTGCAAGATGGACGTGCCAGCAAAGCCTTGAAGACAATGTCTGCAGGACGGGTGGATGCGACATTTGTCAGGCGTATTCAACGCACCGGTGAGCTCTTGGAAGAGACCGGCATGCTTACCACGACCGACCTGAAGAAAGCAGGCCTCCAGGATGATGTGCTGGGTTGCATGGACAACAAGACACCGATGAAGATTTTCAGGGCTCTGGCATCTGCTGAAGAAAGAGTCGGCCTGGTGACAAATGCCGCAGACCAGATCGAAATGGCGTTTTGGAAGCCAACTCACACGGAAAGCTCCGCGCGTCAGGTGGCTGCAGACAATGCAGAGATTCGGCGGGAGAATCGCTTTCAGAAAATTCGGCGACCCGAGAACGAGAAAGAAAAAGGGATGAAGCCGCCGAAGAAATCCTTGCCGTTGGCGTTGCTCGATCGACCATGGTCAGCTCCCTCGAGCATGATGCAGCTGACGACGCGAAGGGTGCTGCCCGAGGACATCGTAGCAGAGAGAGTGAGCCAGCTGGGCAAGACAGGTGCCGTCGCCTCTGTCCCAAGAACTTTGGACCAGAAGGTGTTGCAGCACTACGGATTCAACAGCTCTTTAGTGTCTCGTATTCACCTGCTCCATGGGATGCTATTGCGCCGGCAGGGGTTCGACAAGAGTGCCAGATGGACGCCAGCCAGAATCGTGGACGAGATGGATCTTCATGTATTTTTACAAGTTATCGGCTGCGGGTTGTATGATCCAGATCTCGACAAGCTTCTGGCGACTGGATCCAACCCTCTTGTTTGCCAGGCGAGCCCGGGAGCGGTTGGGAGGGGTGTGCGACTCCAACGAACTGGCATAGAACGCACCTTAAGACAATTATCCACACCCACACCCACAGCTGCCCACCCGCACACACACACACACACACATACACAATCTCACACATACACACATCACATCAGTGTTTGTTCTTCTTACCCCATAAAAGGGCCGAGTAGCGTACATATTTCATTAGATTCAGAGATACTCATTCATGTACTTGCGAACATGTACAGTCGGAAAATAGATAGACGAATAGGTGATCAAAAGAGTAGATAAGTAGATAGACAAACAGATAGATGCACATGCGCACATACATACATACATACATGCATACATACATACAGACTTACATACAGACATACATGCACTAATAGCTAGATACTTACATAGCTACATACCTACATACCTACGTGCATACATACATGCATACGTGATCATACGTGCATACGTGCGTGCTTACATACATACATACATATGCTGTGTATACACGTATGTACATGTGTACCTATGGAATCAGCACATGGAAACACTTGCAAGCCATGCCGCTGCCAAGAGGCACCGGAAAAGTTCCTTGGAGAGGTTCGGGGTAGACGTGGAGGGTAAGCACAGGAAATTGACGCTTCTTGATTGACAGGTGCCGGCGAACATCAGAAAGCAACTCCTCGGGCCAACCACATGCACTGGGGCGTCAAGGACGACACAAACCATCCGCCGTGTCATGGTTTACCTTGTGAAGATGAATCTTGTGACGATGGCCGGTGATTCAACATCTGGACCTTCCGGAGAGACCGTTCACTTAGTCTACGAGGTGGCCAAGGTAGTAGGAGTAGCAGCTAAGTAGCAAAGTACATGACAGCTAGCGAGGTTAAACGAGTTTTGAATGCGAGCAGTTACACTTGGCTGAACCGAACCCCAGGTGAATCGATACGCGCACGTGGACAGTTTCACGGCAGACCTTGAAGCAGACCCGCCCCGGCGACTTGCCAGCTTCGACCTTGCAGAACCTGGTTCTGTCGATGCATATTGGGAGAAGACCAAGCAGCTTGTGAAGGAATGGTGTGACAAGGTCCTGGGCGGGGCGAGAGGCGCAAGAGACGACGGAAGCTCCAGCGATGAGAAGAGGCCCCTCTCTCGGCAGACTGCCCCCAACATCCCCACCCCTGTGAATGCTCCGCTTCCTGAGCTCTTCCGCCGCAAGAACTGGAAGAGCTATCCATGGCTCAGTCCGCATCAGCGGGCCGCCCTCAACAAATTCTACAGCGACCTTTGCTTCAGCACGGCACCCAGGAGACAGCGAGCTTCAGAGTCGCTCCTTTCCGAGGCGCAAGATGTAAGGATTGTTACGCCAAGATCTGCCGAAGTATCTGCCCTCAGCCGCCGAATCATGGTGCCACCTGAGCGGGTCGTGAAGTATTGTCGGCAGCTGGTGGAGGTGGCTGGGCCTCACCCCTCCGGAGCCAGGGTGGAGTTCTCCCCGCTGTACGCCGTGCGGTACAAATGTCACAAATGTGGCCACCTCTGCTTTCTGAAGACGGCCATCGCAGACCATTATTGGAAGGTTCATTCTCTGCCCTTGCCTACAGATGAGAGCCTTTTCTGCGAGCCGGATTTTTATGCACGGCGGCTGGAGCAGGCAAAGCCACCTAGGAACCCCGGCATCAAGCGGTTGCGGAAAGTGCTGCCAAGCAAGTCCAACAAGCTCCACTTGGACATGGGGGAACTCCGAGAGGAGCTGGCTGAGGTGGAAGACGAGATAGAAGATGTACAGTGGCTGCAGCTCTTGGCCACTGCTGAATCGTTGGTTGGCTTGGAGCAACACGCCAAGGGCTTGCCGTTGACGCAGCGTCCAGTTGGCCCCTCGCATACCAGCCCGTCGGTCACGTGGCCAATGCTCGCCCGCCTTGCAGGCCTTCCGGAAGCATACTGCCAGAAACGCATCAGGGAGCTCCTGCAGTGCGACCCCAAGAACCAACGCTTGGTCAGCACCTTGCGATCCGAGGAAGTCCAGAGTGAGCGCTCCGCACATGCACAAAGTGCTGCGGGGAGGTCCGTCTCAAAGTGCCTGCTGCTCTCGCCCTACGAAACATTCATGTCCTGGTGGAAACTGGAGTTCTTACCTGCCGATGTCCGAAGACTTGTCGACTCTGTTCTGAGGCAGTGGCAGGTGGCGTCTTTGGTCAGCAAGTACAAGCCGCGCAGCAAAGGAAGGAGGCTTCCAGACAACGTGCATCCGAGTTTTACGTTGACTTATGCCTGCAAAGTCAGGATGTTTGGCAGAGGTGGGGACTTCACTCGCTTGCAAGAAGCGCTTGGGACGCTTTCATCGACCAGTCCTGAAGCCTTGCAGGGCTACCGGAGCTTCGCGCCAGAGTCATCTGAGGGGACCCACCTGCTGGTGCTTTCAGATGCTGTGGCGTCAAACAGGGCGACCCTGAGAGCGGTGTGGGCTGATTCAGATTTCTACAGTCAGGCAATCGGCAAGAGGCCGCCCTGGCAGAGTTCTCACGAGGAGGACGACGAAGAGGAGGAGCCGCTCCTTGAGCCCGAAGATGAGAGAAGCGGCTCGAGGCCTCCAACGGGCATCCAGTCCCATCTGCAACTGACGAGTGACGAGCCCACACTTCAGTCGATTCGAGTGGCTCTCGCAGCTCCCCGGAAGCCAGAAAGCTTCCTGAAGTGGCTCCTGGTCCCCGACGAAGAGCTTCCCAACATGCTACCTGCCCCTGTAGAGCCGGTGGATCCAATGCGTTGCTTCTGCGAAACCAAGGACGCCGAGGCCGAGAACCGGCAAGAGGATTCTGAGGAGGAGGAAGCCCAGGACGATGACATCGGAGGAGATGCGCTGCCCAGCCAGAACCAAGCTGCAACTGATAAAGGGGCTGGTAAAGCCCAACATGCACCGAGCACGGCGCTTGAACAGGATGAAGACCAGGAGGTTCTGGATATTTCATTCAAAGAGTTTGCAGCAACGTTCCTGGACACGCCTTCCAGCGTGGGAGCAGGCTTGTGTTCGCGAGAACAAGAACTCCTCGATGCCGCAGCTTTCGTCTTCAAAACCGTTCATTCGATATCTTCCAGAGCACCAGAGGTCAAAGAGGAAGGTGACCTGACGGGACTTTTTGTTCTGCCAGGCGCCAGCACCTCTCAGCTCAAGGCTGCATATCAGGGCTTCCGAAGCCACCAAAGGGGCCCGAAGCGACTCAGGCGCTTGCAGCCTTCGCAGCCCAGGCCTCCCAGCCTGTCGTTGGTCCTGGCTTGTTTAGAGGAGTTGAGGCTCGTGGTTCCTTTTCCATGCGGCCAGGAGTTTCGAGAGGTCCTTGCTCACGCTGCCGCCCCGTTCTGCGTTTCACAGAGCTCCTCTGAGCCTAAGGGGAGCCCTGAGGCCTCGGCTGAGGCCTCGGCCGCCTCGGCTGCAGCAGAACTTTTCAGTCACTTCGATTTGGGAAGGCACTGGCTTTGGCCCTACTTGGAGCATTGCTCGCTTCGCTGTCTCCGCCAAGCTGCGGCGTGTGTACTGCGAGCCGCTGGTCTCGACAAGGCAGCTGGAACACTGCAGGGAAGCTTTCTTCCTTGTCAACTGATGGCTCCATGTGCTTGGGTACATGCTCGGGGGACGTTGAACGTACCGGTTCTGCGTTGCTTGCTGCTCCGGCTTCTCCATCGACTGATGAAGACACCCTTTGCATCTGTTGCTGAGCGGCTTGGCTTTTTTCTATCCGGTAGGTGGGTTCCCGTCATGCATCTTCTGTGCTTTAGGCTTTAGCCGCCGGCTTAACCGGTTCCTAACCCAACCCAAGAGTTCTAGAACCATAGAGGCCTCAAGCAATCTCAAACCCTCTACAATTAAAGTCGTCACATTGCCCATGTGCCCAGAGAGCCCAGTATCCCTTAATTAAGGAATATGGCTTAAATTGTATAGGGCTTCATGTACTGATTTACGCTATATTCCTTAGTGGGTCCCGGGCCTCGAAAGGTTGGCGAAGGACTGCGGGGCGCAGGACCGGGGGCTCATCGACGTCTGCGAGCTCTCCTTCCTCCTGGAGTTGGCGGTAAGGGCCAAAGTCGTGGCAACTCGACCGCATGTATATACATATTTATACACACATACATAGAGACCCTACATTACATTACCTTACAGTACATAACAGTACATGACATTACATGACATTACAGGACATTAATAGATAAATTTGTATTGCATTATACCAAAATCATATCACATTGCATGTTATCTTTTTTTTATCAGATTATGCTATATTGGAATACAATGATATATTCTATTGTATTGTAACATAATATTATATGGTCTCACCTAATATTGTTTGTTATAATATGGTGTTCTATGATATCACATGATGTTATTATATATACGGTATTGGTTTTATGGTATGATATGATATGATATTACATCATACTACCATCACTATATTATATAAAATCATATGACGTGTTATAACATATTATACAAACAATGCCAATACTTATACCCATTTCCCAATCATTTTTTACTCTTACTACTGTTATTACAATCATGGTTGTCATGTAGTATGTTATGTCACAGTAGGGTACATTGTATTGTTTTTGATATGTTGCATTGTGTTACATGAAGTATTGATATGTTTTGTTATGTTATGATACTTTATATCATACCATCTTACTTAGTATTTGTATTGTATTCCATTTTATTTCATATAATGGAATAATCATGTCATATAATCTTAAAGTATATGGACTCTATTAGGTACTTTTCGGAAGGAGAGTTGGCTAGTCTTTACCTCGCGGCTTTGGCAGGGCGAGAGGGAAAAGTATCATGTTATATTATTAATAAATGTGATAGATATCGACACATGCACAGGCATAGATGTGTGGCAGTGCATGTCCCAGGAGAAGCGCGGACACGGCAGCAGTGGCTCTTCCGTCGAGGCCAGCCGATAGACTCTAGCACCGGCTTCAACTTTGTAGCAGTTTTGAGCATTTGCCGCAACAGCCAAAACCAAACCGGGTGACATAGGCAATGCCTGAATGTTCTCAGTTGCGATTGCCAGGAGCCTGACCGCTACCGCTGTGTCCTGCTCCGCTGTGGTGCAGCCTGAAGCTCGCAGGGCCCCGCAGGGTGACAGGTCGAAGCCCGAGGCCCAGCAGGGCGTGGGCTGCGAGACTCTGCACTCTCGAGGCGCGACTGCGGCGAGCCAGCGCGAGAAAGCGTGTGTGTGGTCACGGGAATGTGGCTGACGTTGTAGGCACGATGCAGCTCGGGGGGCCATATCAGTTGTAGCTGTTTGGCTCGTAATTCTCGGCTCAAGCACGCGTCGTGTCGCAGTCCTGCTTTCATGACGATTCGCTGTGGTACATTCAGCTTGAGCACGAACCGAGAGGTTTTGCACAGCGTGTGGCCCGGCTTCGGATTGGAAGTCCTACTTTGACAGTTTCTTTACTGTGCTGTGCTGCGAAGAGGGGAGGAGGTGTTCTATGCTTACCACTGTTTCTGCAGCCTCCTGAAAACAGCCCTCATCTCCACTCGATCTCTCGTTCTTCGACGTCTCGCCTGGCCAAGTCCAAGCTGAGAGTCGAAACCTCGAAAGCCTAAACCTTAAAACCCAGATTAGCTTGTACTGTTGTGAGTGCTGAAATCCCGGATTTGCGGTGACTGTCGAGACCAAAAATAGCAATACGGCCGGAAGCATTCTGCTCAACAGGGGAGGCCTTTGGAGTAGGCTTTGCAATCGCGGCGCAGCCAGATCTTCGCCTACAAACATGGAGGCCTTCGTCGCGAGCACCTCGGCCGCCTCCGGATCTTGGTCTCCGGCGCTGCGGGGCGCTGTCGACGGCCCGGGCTTGGCAGCCCCGAGAGTCCCCAGCAGCTCAAGCGGATCAGGCGTGCGGGGGGCCGCGCTGGGCGTGGCGGCAGTGAGCGCCTGGGCATGCGTGGCCCCACGCGCAAGCCGGCCACGGAAGACGAAGCTCGGAGCCCGCGGTGGTGACGTGGTTGAGGTCATGCCCACGACAGAGATCAATTACTATAAGCTGGACCAGATCAACACCGTGACGGTCACGACCTCGATGCGGGCGGCACTCAGGGCGATGAAGGACATCGTCTCGACGGAGAAGCTGGCTGAGGAGCAGCTGCAGGATGTACTTTGTGACGAGGATGTGCGCCACGCGCTGGTGTCCTTGTCACGATTGCCAGTCTTTTCGCACGAGTTTGGCTCTGCGTTCAAGGATGACTTGGACTTGCTGCACTCCCTCAAGCAGCTGAAGTACTTCTGGAACTTGCCCGTCAGCCAGCTGGCGATCTTGATGGCCAACATTTCCGAGCGCATCATGACGGACATCACTCAGGACCTGAGGGCTTTTGAGGAGAGGCTGGGCAAGTCCCCTAGACACCTGGAGGCTGTGAAGGAAGTGAGTAAGTGTCTTCCAGCAGAGGTATATGCCAAGTACATGGAGAACGCTGCTCATCTGGAAGATGCAGATCCGCATGCTGTGTATCCCACTTCGATCTACAGGCAGTGCGATGCCCAGACCTTGGCCACAAAGGACGCTTCCACGATCGAGGCTGTGATGAGCACCACTATCACCACCACCATCAAGATTGCCCGGAAAGTTTTGGACCCTTCCAACCACTTGCTCTACGATGTCTATAAGCCCCTTGGTCGGTGCGTGGCCGTGGTCGACGACAAAGTGGACGAACACTACGGGGCGGAGATCGACCAGTACTTCGCGTCCCACGGCATCGAGTTCACCAAGTTGGTTTACAGCGGCAACGAAGTCGACAAGGGCATTGAGGACGTCGAGAGGATTCTGGTAGCAATGAAGAAGTATTCCCTCGGCCGTCATGAACCGCTTCTGGTCGTGGGCGGAGGAGTGATCGCGGACATCGCAGGCTTTGCCACATCTTTGTACTCCAGGAACACTCCGTACGTGATGCTTTGCACGTCCATCGTCTCTGGCATCGATGCAGGCCCGTCACCACGCGTGTGCTGCAACGGCTACGACTACAAGAACCTTTACGGCTCCTACCACCCACCGGTGCTGACGATCACAGATCGAGGCTTCTGGAAGACTCTTCATCCCGGATGGTTGCGCCATGGTGTGGCAGAGATCATCAAGATGGCAGTCATGAAAGACCTCTCTCTGTTCGAGCTTCTGGAGCGCCATGGTGTCCGGGCAGTGCAGACTAAGTTCGGGACCGAAGGCGACAGCGTCGATGACCCCGAGTTCCAAGACGTGTGCGACCTCATCGTCGGGAAGGCAATGGAGGGATACGTGCGATCTGAGTATGGCAACCTCTGGGAGACCCATCAGTGCCGACCTCATGCGTCTTAGCCACAGTTGGACAACATTTTACATGTTTATGGATACTTAAGCCGAAGAAGGAATAGACGTGCAAATTTCTAATACTATCCCAACCATGGACTGTGACTAGAGGCATATGGACACACCTGGTGCCCGGGCTATGAGCTGCCAGCAGGCATGCTGCACGGGCAGGCCGTCGGCACATGCATGGGCTTTGGGGCATACCTCTCGTTCGTGGAGGGCTGGGTTTCCGAGGAGGAGATGCACCGCATCTTGAAGGTGATCTCAGATTGCGAGCTCTCCTTGTACCACCCGGTGATGGACGACGACCAGATGATCTGGAAGACTCAGCTGGCCATCGTCGAGAAGCGAGGTGGCAACCTTTGTGCTCCGATTCCTAAGCCTTTGGGCTTTTCGGGCTACTTGAATGATCTCTCAGAGGAGATGCTCGCACGGAGGATGCACGAGTACAAGGATCTGGTCTCCAAGTACCCGCGCGCTGGCCGCGGTGTCGAGGAGCACTGTGTGGACGTGGGCCTTGAGGACCCTCAGGCCAAGAAGCTGCAGAAGAAGGCAGAGGCTGATGCCGGGCTGGCCAAGCTTGCCACTGCAAAGATGGAGCTGTTGAGGGAACTCAGGGACGAGGGCCTCCTGACCGAGCAGCAGTTCGAGCAGAAGCAGCAGCTTCACGGAACTGCTGCGTGAGCACAGGCGTGACATGCACTGCTCTGCGAATATCCAGACCACATTGCGCTTGACCACATCACCGCTAGAAGTGACCGTGACGCGAGTGGATGGTTGAATGATTTTGCGTACACAATACACAATTTTGATCAGATTTTCGACTCTAGAAGCGCCGTTCGAAACGGAACAGCATCAGTTTGGGTCGTAGCTTGTCGGTCAGCTGTACAGCCCCCGAAACATTATTTGGGGAGACCATGAGATTTTCGGGAAGCCTGCGGATTTCTGCCCTTGTCTTTACAAGGATTTCCCTCGCGGATTTGCTTCAGCTCTGTCAATGTTCCGTCGCAGCGCTGCAGCCCGTGACAGCAAAGACCAGGTGAATCAGCCATGACACGTCGTAGGACCCAGAAAGAAAGATTGCACTGCCAAACCGAACCCCAGCTCAGGCAAGAAGGAGAATCCCAATTGGGTCGACGTCCCGCCGGCGTCGAGCGAAGGCGGACGCGCAGGCCGCCTGGGAGGCCACTTCGATCATCCAGACCCGGATGCGCCTCGGTTGGCTTGAGAGACTTGCTTTTATTTTAGGGTCTATGAAGGGTGCTTGTGGGTTTAATTAAAGGTGAGGTGTTGAGAGCTTATCGCATGGTTTACGGTTGAAAGGGTGGCAGGGCGGCTGGACGATTTCGAAGCTTCGGAAGAGAGGGCCGTTTCGCAGATCGGCCCGCATGATGCTGGCCCTTGGTCTCGCTACTAGTGTGAAGAGCTTCGAGCCGGAAGCGTAGGGGAGGCCTTTGGAGTAGGCTTTGCAATCGCGGCGCAGCCAGATCTTCGCCTACAAACATGGAGGCCTTCGTCGCGAGCACCTCGGCCGCCTCCGGATCTTGGTCTCCGGCGCTGCGGGGCGCTGTCGACGGCCCGGGCTTGGCAGCCCCGAGAGTCCCCAGACGCTCAAGCGGATCAGGCGTTGCGGGGGGCCGCGCTGGGCGTGGCGGCAGTGAGCGCCTGGGCATGCGTGGCCCCACGCGCAAGCCGGCCACGGAAGACGAAGCTCGGAGCCCGCGGTGGTGACGTGGTTGAGGTCATGCCCACGACAGAGATCAATTACTATAAGCGCGATCAGGAGAATGCCTCCAAGCGGGTGATCGCGGGCGGCGCCAGCCGGTGCCGGGCGGAATTCTCACTTTACTGCGACACTGGCTGGCTGGGAGCCAGCTGGTGTCTTCTCTTGGCTACATTGTGCCTCTCGGAGCAGAAGTTTCCGGTGGCGTTGGTTGGGGCTCGCGGATGGGATGCTGCGATCCTCGCCTTGTTCTTTCAAGGTGTCATTGTGGGGCTGAGGATCTGCTCGGCCGTTGCTGCTCGCTGGTTTGCTTGGTGGCTGACCTCGAGGAGCTTAAATGGAAGTCTGGTTCGTGGGGGCTCAGGGCGGGCCTTCTTTTCTCGACTTCGCCTACGTGCTCTCCGCCACCGACTTCGGCTTGTTGGTCGCCAACGTCGTGGCTTAGGGAGATCATGGATAACAAAGTTCGGTTGGCAGTGCTTGCGGGTGGGTCGCCGCGCTGCTTGCTGGCGCGGGCGCAGGCGCCGAGGTGATCACCGTCTTTGGTGGCGTCAGATTCGCCGCCGTGATCCTCGAGCCTGGCTGCTCCTTCAATCTGAGCTTGTCATCACGCCGAGGCTGAGGGAGGACCTTAGGCGTTTTGGGTTGAGGATGTCTTCTCCTGTTTGTTCGGGGTCTGTGAAATTGTTCCCGTGCAAGGGTGTAGGAGTTGTGAAGGGGGGCATTGGCCCGAAGATCAAAGACCAGTCGAAGAGCCAGGGTGCCGTTAAGAGTGGGGCGGACCCAAGGACCGAAGAAAGCTTTAAGAGCCGAAGTGCCAAGAAAGGGACGGACCCAAGGACCGTTGAAACTGCGAAGAGCTACAGAGCCCAGAAGCAGGAACCATCAGGTAGGCTGTGCTCACCTGGCCCTCGCGGGCTCCCCGGCGCCCTCCATTGCGACCGGTGCCGCCATGGTTTCCAGGATGTACTGTGCGAGTCTTGTGGGCTGACTGCCGTACTCTGGGTTGTGATCTGCCTGGCCTGGGCTGCCGGCCCTCTCCTATGCTTCGAGGACAAGACTGCGGAGGTTCTGAGTGCGCCTCTTCTCAATGTGCCGTGGGCTGCTCAGGGATCTTTCGCTGATCGTCGCTTTATTGCCGGGGCGCAGTGCTGTGATGTGTCATGGCAGGCTGCAGGTGGTATTGGTCTAAGCTTGGGCCTTCCCTGTGACGGTTTTAGGTTAGATCAGTTCGCTGCTGTGAGGATTGGTGAGGCCGCTCATCCGGGGCCGGGAGGTGCCAGAAAAACTGCTCGCAAACGTGCTCAGAAGCAGGCACTCAGCAATGCTTTTGCTAAGGGACCGGCGGGCTTGAATGCCCTCCTCAAGCCATTGATCCGTGCCGCTCTTCAGGAAGTGCTGCAGCAATCGTTAGGGGGTGACGGCCTTGCTGGGCTCCTTGCTGGTGCTCAGGCCTTCGAAGGGGGAAGCGCCGTTCCTCCGCGTCAGGTTCGCGTTGCTGGCCCTAAGGGGAATGGTAAGCAGATGGGAGAAGGTGCCAAGGTAGGCCCGGGTCCCAAGGGGCACGGTAAGCCGGGCAGTGAACGCGCGAATGCTGGCTCCGGGGCTGCTGATTCTCGGGCTGACGGCTCTGTTCCTTCTTCGGGTCCCAGGGTTGGGTTTTCTTGGAATGGGGATGTGTTGTCTGGGTCCAAAGGGAAAGGCACAGGCAAAGGCGTAGGTGGCAAGGACAGCACAGGCGGTAAGGGCCCAGGTCAACCTGTAGGCTCCGTTGCCGCCGGGAGTGCTGATGACGCTAAGTCCTTCGCTCGCATTGTTGCTGACTGGCGTACAAGGACCGGTCAAAGGCCTTCATCGGGTGCCGTGGCTCCTGGTCCTACCGCTGCTGAGGACTGGGTCGAGCACCGCTGGCGTGCACGGCCGTCCTTCTTCAATTGCTCGAGCTTTGCTGACTGTCTTGCTGATATTGAAGATGCTCTCGAGGCGGGTGCTCCTTTCCTCGCCCAGGTTGGTGCTAAGGACCTTAAGCCTTCAGTTAGCATGCTGCGTGGAGGGTGCCCTAGTGGCACTGTGCTCCTCTACTTAGGCGCCGAGGGTGCTGATCTCGATGATGTGCGTCAGGAGTTCCATGTTGAGCCTAGGCACGTACCGGGGATCCTCAAAGGCCAGCACCGTCTCAGGAAGTGCTTTTGCATCTTGATCGATGGCTCTTCGCCGAAGCTTGCTCCTGCAGTCGACTTTGTCAAGACTGCTGCACCTCGCACCAAGGATCGTCCAGCTTCGGTTGTTATGCGTGCCACCTTTTACAAGGAGTTCTGCGGGGATTCGTTTCAGCAGGTGAAAGCCAAGCCCGCGCAGGCCATCCGCAGGTGGTCGAGCCGCCTGCTCGTTTCATGTGTTTACTCATGGGTGTTTTACTTTACCATGTTCCAAACACAACATTTCGGCCCAAGACACGCGTGCTTCAGCATAGCTTAAAGCTTCGCTCCATGCTTTAAAATTTTGAACATGCAGCAGATTGCTTTTACTTCTCATGCACATGATTTACTTCAGCACGCGTCAGTTTTGCAGTTTTGTACAACATAGCTTCTTTGCGTCCTTTGATGGACTCGGAGGCTGACCCTGCTCCACAGTCGGCAGAGCTTCAACAAACTTTACGGTGGTTGGACCTCCCTGTCAGGCAATTTGACATTGCATTGTGTGAGGCGACTTTATCTGACAGGATCGCTGCATTGGAAGAGCAACTTTCCGCTCTCCAGTCGGCTCGCCAAACCTCTTTGGCCAAGCTGGAAGAGTACCGCACTTACTTTGACAGTAGTCTTTGGAGCCTTTTCGAAGGTGCCAAAAAGCAAGCCAGCAAAGAGAGTGCAGCGATCCGTGAAGATTTCTTTGCTGCTTTACTTGAGCTCCGCGAAGACACTCTCGAAGCTTTGGGCGGAGTACACGAACGAGTAGATCATATTTTTCAACAACGATTGCCTGCTTTGCATACAGATATTGATATTTTGAGTGCTCGCCTTCAAATTCTCGAAGGCCAACCGGAGCGTACAGACGGTGATTCTTTTCTGGATTCCCTTGATTGAGACATGGCAGATGCCTCCGATGATAGTCGCTTTCGTGTGAAACGTTACAGGCGACAACCGGAAGAGGCTTCTTTGCAAGACGCTCCTATGGAGCGGGAAGACGGTAAGGATGATTCCAGTCCTGCTTTGACACTTTCTTCAGGTGATGGTTCCTTTGCTGTGGTGGAGGCCACTTCGGCGTTTGATTTGCCGGTACCATCATCCTGGAACCCAGGTGCTCCTGCTTTGCCGACGGTGCCCGCGGCACCCAAGTGGAAGCCTCGGCCTCGACCACGCTTTCCACTGGTGGACAGGTCTTCTCCAGCGGCTACGGCGCCGTCTCGGGGTGATGTGCCCAAAGCTCGACCGGTTTTCTCTCAGCGCTCTGCTTTCACGCTGCGGTCTTCACAGGACGCAAGAGACAGACCTGCTTTTCGTTCTGCTCGTGATTATGCGGTCTTCCCCTCAGAGTCCAGGCCTCCCTCGTCGGTCTCCTGCTTTTCAGGCACTTGGGACGAGGCTGGTGTTTCAGCTTTGAGTGACACTGTGGTGGACAACCTCCTTCAGGCGGCAGATGCTTTTGCTTCCTCAGCCGAATTTGCATTTCCTCCAGAACCACCCACTGTGCTACCTGGCAAATTTGCTTTGCCAGCCCGGCCCGGCAAAGTCAAAAGGTCTCTCTGCTTAGCTTTGCTCTGTAGCTCGTAGCGTGTCTTGGGTTAGGTAAAGTTGAAGCCGGCGGATCCGGGCGCCATCATCGACACATGGGGCTGGGTGACCCGCGGCACTGATGAGGTCACCGGGTTGGTGCGAGTGACTCGTGAAGCAGCCGCGCCTTTGCTTGCTGCCAGCGGGTCTTTCCTGGATCTAGCTGCCTCCTTTTGTCCTGTGAACTGGGCAGACTTCTCTGTATCAATGCCATCTTTGCTCTGGTGTGACAGGGAGGAGGCCGAGCCCGCTGAGGCCTACATCGCTCGTGTTCGCAAGCTTGCTACTGACCACGGGCTTCATTGTGCTGGGGCCAAGCTTGCTGCAAGACTTGATGCTTTGGATCCCCGCATAGTTCCTAAGAGGGACGGTTGGGAGTTACGCGGTGCCCTGGTTGAGTGGCACCTTGCAGACATTCAGAACCTCTTGGTGCAGAGTGGCTTCACTGACGTTGAAGTCCGGAGTCGGACTTGGCGAAGGGGCGGCTACGTTTGGCACTTTCATGCTGTTCGCCCCGACTTCAGGGAGTTCATCCCCATCGAGCTCGAGAGCGAGGACGGCGCGGAGATGATCTGTGAAGCCTGCCGGTGTGGACCAAAGCGAGTTCGCCGCGAGATCCAGCCGGTCAGGCCCGAGAGGACTCAGAGTTTCCGGCCGGCGCCACTTGCAGACTTCATTCGGACTGCTGCTCCCAAAGCTGCGCCTAAGAAAGCCGAGCAGTCGTCCCGGAAGCTTGGGTCGTCTACTGAGAAGCCCATGGAGCTGGACACCGACGATGGTGAGGATGTGGACGTGGCGCAAGCTAAGGACGACGTTGTGGGTGCCAAGCGCACATTGCCTGGTGACGAGGTCACAGCATCCGCGGCTACCGGGACTAAGAAGCCCAAGAGCGTGCCGTTTCCTTCGACGGCACAAGTCATCCCGAACAAAGGTGGTGGCGACTGTTTGTTTCATGCCCTTGCTCAGGCCGTCGGCGAGGTTGAAGGCCGAAAGATCGGCCACCGCCAGGTCAGAGCAGCTCTTGCCGACTGGGTTGCGGCCAATGCTGAGACGCTTAAGCCCCATTGGGACGGCCTCGGTCCCGATTCCAAGGACCTCCAGGCATCTGGCTTCACTGCATATTGCGACGCCATCCGCATGCAAGGCAGCTGGGGAGGATACCTCGAGATATTCGCCACTTCGGTGGCGCACGGACTCAACGTGTTGGTCCTGTGCCGGGATGCTGTGCATAAGTTTCCGGCCAATGCCCAGGACCGTGGCCATTACATCGTGCTCAAGTATGACGCCGCTCACTACGAGTACGTTCGCGTGGAGAGCAAGGACATCGCTAACCTTTGGTTGTCAGCTGTCGTTCCCGCTTTCCATGGTCACCGTGGCGCTGGCTTGGACTTCTCGGCTTACGAGACGGGCTCGTCGTCGGGATCTGCACGCTCGGGTGGCCGTTCCGCTGCGGGTGGTCGCAGTACCTCTGGCCTGAACTTCGCGGCTTACGATGCTGGCTCTTCGTGTGCATCCACTGCTGGTGCGGGTGGCCGGGGATTGGCTTTCTCAAGGTATGCTGCTTCTTCGTCGAAGGCGAGCTGTGCTTCTGGTGGCAAGGACCGCAAGCGCCTGTGCGAAGGCTTCTCGCGACATGCTTCACATGGATCGTGTGCTGTGCGGCACTCCTCTGTTGCCGGCGATGGTGGCTCCGTCTGTGGTGATGAGATTGCTGAGTTTCCTGCCGAGGCGGGCGAGGGTCCTATGCCTCGTTTTCCCAGTAAGTACTTTGTACGTCCCGGGCTTTATCGTGCATGCTGCGATCTTTGTCCTTACGTCAAAGAGACTACCAGTGCTGGACTTGCAGCTGTCTATCTGCATAATCACCGGAAGTTTCAGCATGGTAAGGCAGGTTGCCCAGGGACGCGTAAGGCCAACTACGGTGTTGCCCGTCTCCGTCCGGGTGAGGTCGCTGCTTGGCGGTGTCCGGTTCAGGGTTGCAGATACGGCATTACGTGGACGCGCATGGTGACTCTTGGCTCTCGCACCACGGGTTGTAAACACAAGCTTGCACATCGGCTCGCACGGCATCCCGATATCAATCCAAGTGGTGGTCTCTTTGTGCTTCTAAGGCTCCTGGCATCGGTGCACGGGCCCGGGCGCGTTCGCTGAACGCTTCTGCTGAGCGGCACCTGCGAGGGGAGGCCTTTCCTTCTGGTTTCAGGCCTTTTACGTGAACGTTCATTCGGCGCTCCAAGGGCAAACGCAAGCTTGGGATGAACCGTGTCGGTCAGTGTCCTTCATGTCGTCGTACTTTCAGGGCTGGCGAGAGTGCTGAGGGTCACACCTGCTCGCCTACGAAGCCTGCGATCCTCAGGCGGCGCATCAAGAAGCTCCGTGCTTTGCTTGCTAAGCCACCTGCCGGTCATGGTTTGGACAAGGATGCTTTCAATGATCTTTGTTGCTCCGCTATCGCGGCTTTTGAGGACTGCTTGCAGCAGCAATGACTTGGCTCTCTACGTTGAACTTGGGTCGTGGTGGGGTGTCTAAGACTTCGGAGGCTCTGGCTTCCTTTGATGCCCCTCCTGAGCTTATCGCTTTACAAGAGTTGGGTTTGAATCCTGAGTCTAGAGTTCCCTATGTCCAGGATTGGCGTCGCAGAGGATATTCCTGTGTCCTCGGCCCCGGGGAACGTTGGACTAGGGTTGGTCTTACTGCCCGATGTCCGATTTCTCCTTTTGCCCTGCCTCGCCAGGAGGCCAACGATCGAGTGGTCGCGGGCCTTTGTGAATTCATTTATGAGGGTCGTGTTCAAAAACCGTCGTGGGCTCTGTGTACGCTCATGCGCATGACGAGGCTCAGGCCTTTGACTTGGTACAGTCGGTCATCGGATCCTTGCATGAAGTTGGTTTGCCTTGGATTCTCCTCGGTGACTTCAACTTGACTTTGGAGTATAGCGGGTTACAGTCCCTCTGTGCCCGAGGCGCCTGCGTGCCTCTTGACTTTGCGTTCGCGGCGCCGTGTTCCTTGCCGGCTACTCGGGTAGCTGGTAACCGTCGCATTGACTTTGGTCTTTCCTGCGGCAAGTTTCTTCCTTCGGTTCGGAGCTTCGCCACTATTTGTCGGTCTCCGATCATTTCGCAGTTTCTTACTGCTTCGATTTCGCGCCGTGGCGCTCTCTGCGCTCTCCGTCTCGTGTTCCTCTTGCCGACTGCAGTGAAGACGAGATTGCGGCTAAATTCGTTTCCTGTTTTGTCCAGCATGAGTTTGCAGAGCTGCTTGAGGCTGGTGATGTTGACGGCGCCTGGGCTTTGCTTAGCGGCGCCGCCGAGCGTGCAATGACCAAGATGCCCCTTGCTGCTGCGGTGCCTCGCTCCGACCTTTGGGTTCCTGTTGAGACTCCCGCTGTTGCCAAGGGTGCTAGAAGTGATGAACCGGTTCGGCTTCGTCAGCTTCGTCGCCTCCACAGGCGATTACTGCAGCTCCAGCGCCATCCCGATGACGCGTGCTTGTGTGCTACGGCGCTTCGCTCGCTCTCTGCTCTTGCCACCGTGGTCCCGGAGTTGTGCTCTTGGCGGGATGGCTCTCTCACTGAGATTGCCGCCTGTACTGTTGCCGCCATCTCTAGGTTTGACGCCGAGCTTAAGGCCGATAGGCTTGCGCGTTGGAAAACTGAGGTGAGCCTTTCGCAGCGCAAGGCCATCGCTTGGGTTAAACAGAGGGTTGCTGCTGAGGCGGACGGCCTTCCCCCCCGCAGTCGCGATCCTGCTGTTCCTGTTCGTGCGGTGCATCCAGTGAGTGTGATTCGTGAGGCCGAGGAGGAGTGGCTTCCTCTTTGGTCTCGTGAGGCTCCTTCTACTGAGGCTTTTGAAGTGCTTTTGCGTGAGGTTGGAGGTGCTCAGTCTCCGTCCCAAGGCAAGGTTGCTTGGTGTGGCAAAGCTCTTCGTCGCGGCGCCAAGGCCATGTGTGGCCGTGTTGCGGGGCATGATTGTTGGGGGCCTGAGGACCTCATCCGTCTGCCTGACGCTTGGTTTGATGCGCTCGCTGACCTTTGGCGGACTGTTTGGTCGACCGGTCGCATTCCCGCCACTTGGCAACGTGCCAGGGTCTCCTTGCTGCCGAAGCCCGACGGCGGTTGGCGGCCTTTGTCCATCACGCCGGTGGTTTGGCGCCTCGGGTCTCAGCACGTTGTTCGTTATCTCCGTCCGTGGTGTGCTTCTTGGGCCTCGCCTCACATCCTGGGGGGCCTCGCCCAGCGCTCCGTCGAGCAAGCGCATGTTCGCATCAACGAGGCCATGACTGACTGTGCTGCTCGTCTCTTTGTTGCCCAGGACCTGAGCAAGTGTTTCGACTGCATCTCGCTTGAGCTGGCTCTCTGTGCCCTCCGGCATTGGGGTGCCCCTTGTGAGCTTATTGCTCTGTTGAAGTCGTTTTACTCCGGTCAGGAAAGGCTTTTCAGCTTCGCGGGCCATGTCGGTGGCAAGTGGCATGCCGTCACCAACGGCATCTTGCAGGGCTGCCCGCTTAGCCCTCTCGTTGCTGCTGCTCTGCTGCAAGTGTGGGCTTTGCTTGTCTGCCGTGACGGCGTTGATGGCGTCATCTACATAGATGACAGGACTTTGTGGTCTGATGCCATTGGCGTTGCTGCTGACCATGCCATGCGTGCTGCTCTGCTCCGGTCGTCGCGCTTCGATGCTGCCTGCCTGTTCGCTTGCAGGCCTCGCAAGTGCCAGGTTGCTTCTTCCCGCTTGGAGCTGTACGCTGACTTCGTCCAGGACATTGGTTACCCTGCCAGTGGAGAACTGAACGTTTTGGGGCTGCGCCATCAATCCAGTGGCGGTTGTGTGCCGGCTAAAGGCGATGTGGTTGAGCTCGCTCTGCGATGCCGCTTCCTGCGCATCCTCGGTCTTCCTTACGGGGCTCGTGCTGCCATTCTCCGGTGTTTGGTCACTTCCAAGTTCTCATGGATCGCCTCGGTCGCCACTGAGGTTCCTTGTGACTTCGCTGCACTGCGGACGGAGATCAGCCTTGCTTTGATCGGCCATCTTGCTCTCCGTGACTGCCCCCGGGCCTTGGTCTACGAGATCTTTGGCTGGGATTGCGACCCCAGGTTTGCCTTCGAGTGGGCCTCGTTGCAGGCTGCTGTCAGGTGGCAGCTTCGGCTTCCAGTTTGGCATGAGCAGGTTTGTCTTCGCTTCGCGCTGAAGCAGTGGCCTGTTCTTCTTCCTGGTTCCGCGAAGGTCCTCAGCAGTCTGGCTTGGTGGGCTTCAGCTGATGGGGCCGTCATCCACCGCAGTGATGGGGCTGGTCGCGTCCGCTCGTTCAGGATCGGGGTCGACAGCCTGTCATGCTTGCGCGGCTGGCTCAAGCATGAGTTCAAGCGCCGTGCCTTGGCCGACGTGTGCCGTGTTGCCACTTCGCTTCACCGACATGACGACCCGACTCTCGCGCAGGGCATACTGTTGCCTAAGCCTGCCGCTCACCTTGCTTTGTCTGCAAAAGCACACCACAGAGTTTTCTTCGAGCAGGGTGTTTCCCGGTCTACTCGGGTGGTTTGCTTAGGCTCGGGGTGTTCGGTTTGGTTCCAGAACGCGTTCCACAAGCGACCTCGGCAGCAGTGGCACACCCGCTGCCTGTGTGGGCTGGAGATGCCTAGCCGGCCTCACCTCGTTTTTCAGTGTCAGGCGTTCGCTTCGGTTCGCCTTGCTCAAGGCGTCACTTCGCCAGTCAATCGAGCTGAAGAACGACTTCTCGCTGTAGCTGTGCCGGAGCTTCCGCCTCCTCCGGAGGCCCGTCTTGTCAGTGAAGCTCGTGACGAAGTCTCGAGACTGCTTGAGGCCGCTGTCCAGGGCGGTGCTGCACTCTTGCTGTGTGCTACCGACGGTTCTGCCAAGGAATCTGTGGCTGGGTGGTCTGTGGCCGTTGAAGCAACCGGCACGGCTGTGTCGCTGCTGGAGACTGAAGATCACCTGCCCTTCATCGCCGAGGTCGTCGCTTTGGTCGTCTTCTTCGAGGCGCTCGTGAGCCTTGCCGCGCGGCTTCCTCTGCCAAGGGTTTACGTTTTGTGTGACTGCCAGGCTGCCTTGAAGGTCTGTGCTCCAACTTACAGTGGGCCGTTTCTTGTTCTTGCACGCCGCGTCCAGGATGCCTTCCGGTCGCTGCACAGATATGGAGTCGACTACACCTGTTCCTGGGTGCCTGCGCACGGTCGTGCCTCTCAGGGTTGGCGGCCACCCGAGGGTGTTGAAGCTGCTCGCGCCAGGAGGATCAACGCGGTCGCCGACGATGCGGCCAAGCAGTGTGTACTCCGTGCCTGGCACGGGTCGGCGAGGCGAGCTTGGCACCGCCAGGTCGCCGCTGCACAGGTCCGTGAGTTGCAGTACCTCCGTGCCGCTTCCGAGGTTGCAGCGAGGTACACGCAGTGGGTCGCTTAGGCTAGGCGCCTTCTGTAGTGGGTTGCTTAGGCTAGGCGACTTCTTTTCGTGCCGGAGCATCAGGGAACTTTTGTTGCACCCTGATGTTCCTCAAACTTCGCAATTACTATAAGCTGGACCAGATCAACACCGTGACGGTCACGACCTCGATGCGGGCGGCACTCAGGGCGATGAAGGACATCGTCTCGACGGAGAAGCTGGCTGAGGAGCAGCTGCAGGATGTACTTTGTGACGAGGATGTGCGCCACGCGCTGGTGTCCTTGTCACGATTGCCAGTCTTTTCGCACGAGTTTGGCTCTGCGTTCAAGGATGACTTGGACTTGCTGCACTCCCTCAAGCAGCTGAAGTACTTCTGGAACTTGCCCGTCAGCCAGCTGGCGATCTTGATGGCCAACATTTCCGAGCGCATCATGACGGACATCACTCAGGACCTGAGGGCTTTTGAGGAGAGGCTGGGCAAGTCCCCTAGACACCTGGAGGCTGTGAAGGAAGTGAGTAAGTGTCTTCCAGCAGAGGTATATGCCAAGTACATGGAGAACGCTGCTCACCTGGAAGATGCAGATCCGCATGCTGTGTATCCCACTTCGATCTACAGGCAGTGCGATGCCCAGACCTTGGCCACGAAGGACGCTTCCACGATCGAGGCTGTGATGAGCACCACTATCACCACCACTACCATCAAGATTGCCCGGAAAGTTTTGGACCCTTCCAACCACTTGCTCTACGATGTCTACAAGCCCCTTGGTCGGTGCGTGGCCGTGGTCGACGACAAAGTGGACGAACACTACGGGGCGGAGATCGACCAGTACTTCGCGGCCCACGGCATCGAGTTCACCAAGTTGGTTTACAGCGGCAACGAAGTCGACAAGGGCATTGAGGACGTCGAGAGGATTCTGGTAGCAATGAAGAAGTATTCCCTCGGCCGTCATGAACCGCTTCTAGTGGTGGGCGGAGGAGTGATCGCAGACATCGCAGGCTTTGCCACATCTTTGTACTCCAGGAACACTCCGTACGTGATGCTTTGCACGTCCATCGTCTCTGGGATCGACGCAGGCCCGTCACCACGCGTGTGCTGCAACGGCTACGACTACAAGAACCTCTACGGCTCCTACCACCCACCGGTGCTGACGATCACAGATCGAGGCTTCTGGAAGACTCTTCATCCCGGATGGTTGCGCCATGGTGTGGCAGAGATCATCAAGATGGCAGTCATGAAAGACCTCTCTCTGTTCGAGCTTCTGGAGCGCCATGGTGTCCGGGCAGTGCAGACTAAGTTCGGGACCGAAGGCGACAGCGTCGATGACCCCGAGTTCCAAGACGTGTGCGACCTCATCGTCGGGAAGGCAATGGAGGGATACGTGCGATCTGAGTATGGCAACCATAGTTGGATAACATTTTACATGTTTATGGGTACTTAAACCCAAGAAGGATTAGACATGTAGATTTTAATGCTTATCCCAACCATGGACTGTGACTAGAGGCATATGGACACACCTGGTGCCCGGGCTATGAGCTGCCAGCAGGCATGCTGCACGGGCAGGCCGTCGGCACATGCATGGGCTTCGGGGCATACCTCTCGTTCGTGGAGGGCTGGGTTTCCGAGGAGGAGATGCACCGCATCTTGAAGGTGATCTCAGATTGCGAGCTCTCCTTGTACCACCCGGTGATGGACGACGACCAGATGATCTGGAAGACTCAGCTGGCCATCGTCGAGAAGCGAGGTGGCAACCTTTGTGCTCCGATTCCTAAGCCTTTGGGCTTTTCGGGCTACTTGAATGATCTCTCAGAGGAGATGCTCGCACGGAGGATGCACGAGTACAAGGATCTGGTCTCCAAGTACCCGCGCGCTGGCCGCGGTGTCGAGGAGCACTGTGTGGACGTGGGCCTTCAGGCCAAGAAGCTGCAGAAGAAGGCAGAGGCTGATGCCGGGCTGGCCAAGCTTGCCACTGCAAAGATGGAGCTGTTGAGGGAACTCAGGGACGAGGGCCTCCTGACCGAGCAGCAGTTCGAGCAGAAGCAGCAGCTTCACGGAACTGCTGCGTGAGCACAGGCGTGACATACACTGCTCTGCGAATATCCAGACCACATTGCGCTTGACCACATCACCGCTAGAAGTGACCGTGACGCGAGTGGATGGTTGAATGATTTTGCATACACAATACACAATTTTGATCAGATTTTCGACTCTAGAAGCGCCGTTCGAAACGGAACAGCATCAGTTTGGGTCGTAGCTTGTCGGTCAGCTGTACAGCCCCCGAAACATTATTTGGGGAGACCATGAGATTTTCGGGAAGCCTGAGGATTTCTGCCCTTGTCTTTACAAGGATTTCCCTCGCGGATTTGCTTCAGCTCTGTCAATGTTCCGTCGCAGCGCTGCAGCCCGTGACAGCAAAGACCAGGTGAATCAGCCATGACACGTCGTAGGACCCAGAAAGAAAGATTGCACTGCCAAACCGAACCCCAGCTCAGGCAAGAAGGAGAATCCCAATTGGGTCGACGTCCCGCCGACGTTGAGCGAAGGCGGACGCGCAGGCCGCCTGGGAGGCCACTTCGATCGTCCAGACCCGGATGCGCCTCGGTTGGCTTGAGAGACTTGCTTTTATTTTAGGGTCTATGAAGGGTGCTTGTGGGTTTAATTAAAGGTGAGGTGTTGAGAGCTTATCGCATGGTTTACGGTTGAAAGGGCGGCAGGGCGGCTGGACGATTTCGAAGCTTCGGAAGAGAGGGCCGTTTCGCAGATCGGCCCGCATGATGCTGGCCCTTGGTCTCGCTACTAGTGTGAAGAGCTTCGAGCCGGAAGCATTCTGCTCAACAGGGGAGGCCTCTGGAGTAGGCTTTGCAATCGCGGCGCAGCCAGATCTTCGCCTACAAACATGGAGGCCTTCGTCGCGAGCACCTCGGCCGCCTCCGGATCTTGGTCTCCGGCGCTGCGGGGCGCTGTCGACGGCCCGGGCTTGGCAGCCCCGAGAGTCCCCAGCAGCTCAAGCGGATCAGGCGTGCGGGGGGCCGCGCTGGGCGTGGCGGCAGTGAGCGCCTGGGCATGCGTGGCCCCACGCGCAAGCCGGCCACGGAAGACGAAGCTCGGAGCCCGCGGTGGTGACGTGGTTGAGGTCATGCCCACGACAGAGATCAATTACTATAAGCTGGACCAGATCAACACCGTGACGGTCACGACCTCGATGCGGGCGGCACTCAGGGCGATGAAGGACATCGTCTCGACGGAGAAGCTGGCTGAGGAGCAGCTGCAGGATGTACTTTGTGACGAGGATGTGCGCCACGCGCTGGTGTCCTTGTCACGATTGCCAGTCTTTTCGCACGAGTTTGGCTCTGCGTTCAAGGATGACTTGGACTTGCTGCACTCCCTCAAGCAGCTGAAGTACTTCTGGAACTTGCCCGTCAGCCAGCTGGCGATCTTGATGGCCAACATTTCCGAGCGCATCATGACGGACATCACTCAGGACCTGAGGGCTTTTGAGGAGAGGCTGGGCAAGTCCCCTAGACACCTGGAGGCTGTGAAGGAAGTGAGTAAGTGTCTTCCAGCAGAGGTATATGCCAAGTACATGGAGAACGCTGCTCACCTGGAAGATGCAGATCCGCATGCTGTGTATCCCACTTCGATCTACAGGCAGTGCGATGCCCAGACCTTGGCCACGAAGGACGCTTCCACGATCGAGGCTGTGATGAGCACCACTATCACCACCACCATCAAGATTGCCCGGAAAGTTTTGGACCCTTCCAACCACTTGCTCTACGATGTCTACAAGCCCCTTGGTCGGTGCGTGGCCGTGGTCGACGACAAAGTGGACGAACACTACGGGGCGGAGATCGACCAGTACTTCGCGGCCCACGGCATCGAGTTCACCAAGTTGGTTTACAGCGGCAACGAAGTCGACAAGGGCATTGAGGACGTCGAGAGGATTCTGGTAGCAATGAAGAAGTATTCCCTCGGCCGTCATGAACCGCTTCTAGTGGTGGGCGGAGGAGTGATCGCAGACATCGCAGGCTTTGCCACATCTTTGTACTCCAGGAACACGCCGTACGTGATGCTTTGCACGTCCATCGTCTCTGGGATCGACGCAGGCCCGTCACCACGCGTGTGCTGCAACGGCTACGACTACAAGAACCTCTACGGCTCCTACCACCCACCGGTGCTGACGATCACAGATCGAGGCTTCTGGAAGACTCTTCATCCCGGATGGTTGCGCCATGGTGTGGCAGAGATCATCAAGATGGCAGTCATGAAAGACCTCTCTCTGTTCGAGCTTCTGGAGCGCCATGGTGTCCGGGCAGTGCAGACTAAGTTCGGGACCGAAGGCGACAGCGTCGATGACCCCGAGTTCCAAGACGTGTGCGACCTCATCGTCGGGAAGGCAATGGAGGGATACGTGCGATCTGAGTATGGCAACCTCTGGGAGACCCATCAGTGCCGACCTCATGCGTCTTAGCCATAGTTGGATAACATTTTACATGTTTATGGGTACTTAAACCCAAGAAGGATTAGACATGTAGATTTTAATGCTTATCCCAACCATGGACTGTGACTAGAGGCATATGGACACACCTGGTGCCCGGGCTATGAGCTGCCAGCAGGCATGCTGCACGGGCAGGCCGTCGGCACATGCATGGGCTTCGGGGCATACCTCTCGTTCGTGGAGGGCTGGGTTTCCGAGGAGGAGATGCACCGCATCTTGAAGGTGATCTCAGATTGCGAGCTCTCCTTGTACCACCCGGTGATGGACGACGACCAGATGATCTGGAAGACTCAGCTGGCCATCGTCGAGAAGCGTGGTGGCAACCTTTGTGCTCCGATTCCTAAGCCTTTGGGCTTTTCGGGCTACTTGAATGATCTCTCAGAGGAGATGCTCGCACGGAGGATGCACGAGTACAAGGATCTGGTCTCCAAGTACCCGCGCGCTGGCCGCGGTGTCGAGGAGCACTGTGTAGACGTGGGCCTTGAGGACCCTCAGGCCAAGAAGCTGCAGAAGAAGGCAGAGGCTGAT